TTTTCCTTTTGTAAGGAATAGATTTTATTGCTGTTTATATATAGTAAAGAGCAATGTCAAGACAGTCTCCTAAAGGTAGTTTTCCACTGCCTAATATTTGAACACAAGAAACATTTACCTGGCAGACACCCGTATTTCCAAAGATCATTTTTGTGTATTGTCCTCAGCCCACATAATTCTGTCTCTATTTTATATTTAGACTCTGTATTCCAGAATACAAACCTAATAGCACTAAATTGCTTAGTCAGATGTTTGACTTCTTCTACTATGGGCTGAGACAGCTGTTCAACAGTTTAAGCCAGAAAATGCAGAGAAACACAGCTAATTCTCCTTTTTGATTTACAGCATGGTTGGCACAAATGACAACTTGTGTCTCAACAAGGTGGGGGAAGAAAGTGCAGAAAGGGGAATGGGCAGCTGGGGGAGGATGGCCTTTTTACTGACTGAAAAGGTTTATCATGCTATGACCTAATTAATAGAGTTGTTACACAGAAGTTTAATGCAATAACTTGCAAAAAAATTACGACCAGTAATAGCTTACCTGAAAGAAGTATAACCATCTCGTGCAGGCAGAGAGAGAAACAGCACCAGCATAAGCTGTAACATAGAGAGAGAAGGTCTTTGTGAAGCTAAAATCAGACCTTTATTTTCCTTATTTATTAAGCTTTATAATCTGTGCTTGACCTAGGTGCCCAGCTAGAATAAAGTTGTATTTATCTTGTAAGGCCTGCCAAAATGCAATATGATCTCCAAGAAAAGTCAAAAACTTTCTTTCTTCTTAGAGAATAGACAGGTGAAATATTTGGAAGACCGATTTATTTGAAGGAGCCTGTCAAGCTTGCTTGAGGTAGGTACTTCTCTAAATACAAAGTACCTGTCTTGCAACATATATAAAATGGCTTCTAACCATCAAAACACCTTTCTTTCCTCATTATCTTTTTATCCTCAAAAATGTAAAATAGTCAGTCAACACAGAACAGGACTGGAGAGAGAAACATTTGAATAAAGGTATGGAGAGCTGACAAAATAAGTGTAGGTAAGAGGAGGGAAAACAGGTTATGTGAAGAAAGAATGAATAGGGAGTGAAGGTGAAGGGGAGGGAAGGTAAAATGTTTGTGCTTCTTAGCACTTGCTGACCCTCGTGCATTTCTTTTTGCAGGACTTCAAAACTACAAGCCAAACCCAATTCCTTCTCATTCTGTACACCCTCAAAAGAGTCAAAGACTGTGTGACATGAAGAGCACTTTCTTAATTGTATTATTCACTTACGTTTATGTTTGTTTAATCCAGGCAGGGCCTCATCCTCATGTCTGTATTTAAGACACTTCAGAAATTTAGGTCTCTTATGAAAATACTAACTATTAGAACTTAATCTTCTTCCCCTTGAAGTCACCTACTCAGAGAGGCTGATCTGTGCTGCCTAATCCATATCCTTAGTTAGGAGTTTGTAGTACCAAAGAAGTCGCAGAGTTTTGTCAGTCCCACACGCTCACAACATGATGTATATAAAAGCAATTCCTACAAAATCACCAGAATTTAAAGTTACTTGAATTGTGTTTCAAGACATTAATATGTTCTGGTGAAAAAATTACCTAATTATTTATAAATCAGATTCTTATCTTTTGTACAGGACAGTAAGAATAAACTAAAAATAAACTGTTATTTGATAGTTTTTTCTTTCCTAAGAAAAGTTTTTTTTCTTTCCTAAGAAAACTTTTTTTTTAAGTAATAATATATTCAATGTGAAAATTAGCATATTTAATGGAAATTTTCCAAGTAGGTAATCAGGACTTCTTTTCAGGAACTTGCAGTTGAAGCTAGATATTTTATATCATTGTAGCTCTTCCATATTTTCTAATTGCCAGATGCTTCTGTTTTGTACAGGAGTCTTTGCAGCTGTAGATTATCACTGATGTATTTTATCATCTCTGGGTACTGAGGTTTGAAAGGAGTTGGTCATGTTTTAATAAATAAAGACAAATAGAGAACTCCCTAGGAAAAGAGGAATAGGCATCCCAGCAATATCTAGAGTAGTTAAAATAGATCAATATATTAAGCTGTAAGTGCAGTGACTCTGCATATGAGTAGTCTAGAACATGCAACTAGAGAACATCAAAGCTTTATTCTGCCCTTTTATGAGTTACTTTTTGAATTTTAATGGCTCCTTAATCCATGCTGTCTTTTTCATCACCATGTGTAAAGTCAAATGAAGCACTGAAGAAAAGAAATAGATCTATCTCTACTGACACTGGACCAACAAACTACTTAAACAGAGAAAAACTGGAAAACAAGAATACTCACTGAGTATTACTTTCTGCCCCATCCAAAATGTATTTTTATGTTATCAGTCTTTTTTTTTTTTTCTGCAACCTAATTATAGGTACCAAGCTATCTGCTTTCTGATACACACTAAATAAAATTAATATTAACATAGTCCTTTGAGGTGTTGACAGATCTGATCTGTCATATCTTAGTGACGGTTTAATGAACCCAGTTGTCTGCTTCACCTGTCAGCGGAGCGCATACTGCTGCCGTAGCAATGCTGGATAAAGGGAACATGTACTCCTGCCTCAGCTGCTTCCATGCAAAGCCCAGAATCTGAGGACCTTAACAGCCATAATTCAGGCCAACAGTTGTCTGGCTTGATCTAATAGAACTCAGAGCTGTATGTCACTTCCCTTTGACCATTGCTGTATAAGGTTTATGAGAATGGAATGTGCACGTGAGCATCTGTGACTGCAATTCTTTGATTATACCTGGACTGTCAAGGTTAAACTGTCGGGATGTGCTTTTTTGTGAAAGAGGCCACTTGAGATTATCTTTCAGATTGCCTTTACTCCTGATCCTTCTCATTAGCAACTTAAGGCAAGATGTCAGACTCTGAACTCAAGCTACCAACATGAAAAAATAATTTCTTCTGCCAGCCTTGAGAAATCTCCAGCTGAGGTTGGTTTGGTCTGCTAGGAAGGGAGGATAGTGTCTTCAGTCAGTACAGCTGGATTGCCTGAACGCATCTGTTTGAGTCTGCACATGAGGCATAAGGGAAAATCTTGTGTTCTTGCTAACACTGATGATTGGATAGCATTTGTTTTAGCAGTAGAAAGTTTCTCTCTTGCCCTTTCCACTGTCTGCAATGTTTTTATTTAAAAGCTTGGCCACTTCTTACCTCAGATGCAACCTAAATTAATCATAGTCTACAAATTGCCCTGGCAGCCAGGAGGCTAAACCACATTTTGGGGTGCATTAAGCACACTCTAACCAGCTGGTTAAAAGAAGTGATTATCCTGCTGTATTCAGCATTGGTGCAATCTCATCTGGAGTACTGTCTCCAGTTCTGGGCCTCACATTTTAAGAAGGATGTGAAGGTCCTTGAATGTGTCCAGTGGAGGGCAACAAAGCTGGTGAAAGGGCTGGAAGGAATGTCCTGTGAGGAACAGATAAGGACTTGGGGTTTGTCTAGCTTGGAGAAAAGGAGGCTGAGTGGCAACTTCATTCCTCTCTACAGCTTCCTGAGGAGAGGAAGTAGAGGTGCTGACATCCCTGGAATCCAGTGACAGGATGGTTCAAAGCTGTGCCAGGAAAGGTTTTGGACATTAGGAAGCATTTCTTTAGCAAGAGGGTGGTCAAACACTGGAATAGGCTTCCTGGAGAGGTGGTCAATGCCTTAAGCCAGTCAGTGGTTTAAAAGGCATTTGGACAATGCCCTTAATAACATGCTTTAACTATTGGTCAGCCCTGTACTGGTCAGGAACTTGGACTAGGTGGTTGTTGTAGTTGCCTTCCAACTAAAATATCCTAGTCTAGTCTATTCTGTAGAAGTCTCTATTTAGAATGGCATAGGTAGGCCTGCACAGTGTACTTCTGCAATGCATCTGGGGATTCTTCAAGATGAATACGTGTTTACATTTTGGCTGTCTTTCAAGTTTGTATAAACTTGAACTGTTTAACTAGACTGTGGTTTAGTTCATGGTGAAAATGTATGTTAAAGTTCAGGTTGCAGGCTGCCAGTGAGACAATGACAATTCTGTGTAAAATGCTGCTGCTTCTTTTGAGAACATAAGCAGGATCACTCTCGAGGGGAAAAGACAACGCAGAAAGAATCGCATCTCATCGATATCACCTGGGGAGTCTTTCTGCTGTACCTTCTGCAACCGGACTTGTCTATCTCACATTGGCCTTTTTAGCCATCAGCGCGCTTGTAGCAAGCGTGGGTAGAGCCCCTCTCAAATCTTCTTTCATGAAGCCTAGCCATGATGATGATATACAGCCTCATAAAACACTGCAGACTGCAGACAGTCTAACCTTCTAGACTGTTGAAGAACTGTCAACTTTATGTGTCCTGTTCTGGGCCACTCAATTCAGGAAGGACACCGAGGAGCTGGAGCAAGTCCAGAGAAAGGGTGACAAAGTGGGTGAAGGGTACAAAGCACAAGTCCTGTGAGAAGCAGCTGAGGGAGGTGGGGTTGTCCTGCCTGGAGAAGAGGGAGCTCAGGGTGATCTTATCACTTTCTACAACTACCTGAAAGGAGTTGTAACTTGGGAGGGGGGGAAGTCAGTCTCTTCTCCCAAATAACAACTGATAGGACAAGAGGACATAGCCTTAAAATGCGCCAGAGGAGGTTCAGGTTGGACATTATGAAGAATTTCTTCACAGAAAGGCTGATTAGGCATTGGAGTAGGCTGCCCATGGAGGCAGTGGAGTCACTGTCCCTGGAGGTGTCTGAGGAAAGGCTGCACGTGGCACTTCATGCCATGGTCCAGTTGACATGGTGGTGTTTAGTCACAGGCTGGACTTGATGATCTCAGAGGTCTTTTCCAACCTAATTGTGGTTCTGCGCTACGGCGCAGCGCCTGCGGGACTGCCTGCTGGGGTCGAGGGCTCCGCTCAGCCTCGTCCTTCGCGGCAGCCCTCGTCCCATCCGCAGACCCGGCACGGCGGGGCGATGGAACTACAGCTCCCGGCACGCCGCAGGGGCGGAGGGAGGTGCGGGCGAGCCCTGACGGCGGAGGCGGGAGTCGGGGGCGGTCGCCTCTCGGAGCTCATCGGCGCGGCCGCCGGCGGGGCGCGGGCGGCGCTGCCATGGCCCTGCCCGCCGGCCCTCTCAAGGTCTGCATCGTGGGCTCGGGAAACTGGTGAGTGCGGCAGCCCCCGGGAGGGCGGACACCCGGGCGGCCGCCTCGGCACGGCCATCCCTGCGGCTGTGCCGGCCCGGGCCTTGCCGTCGCTTGGCGCCCGCAGCCGGAGGGTTTGGCGCCGTGGCCGCGCTGCCCTCAGGGGTGGCGGCGCTGAGGGCTCCCGGTGCCGGCGGTGCAGCGCCGTGTCGCCCGTCTGTGGCGGGCCCTGGGGCCGTGCGGGTGGGCTCCTCCTGCCCCCGGGCTCCCTCGGAGCTCGGAGCGGAGGCGATGCCCTGACACGCTCGGAGGAAGAAGCGGCAGAGTCGAGCTTGTAACGATTGCGTGTGAAACACCCGCCTGTTCTGCGAAGAAATTGCTTTAAGATATTTTTAACGTGGTAGTTGTTGTGTGCTTTGTCCGATGTCAGATGACGTAGACATTAAAGATGCTGAACATCTTTCTTTCTTTTTTTTTTTTTTTTCTAACCATGTGCTGCCTGTGGGGCTTCGCCAACAATCCTACTTGTCTACAAAAGTGTGGTTCGGGATTTCCTATGTTCCTATTTTCCACGCCAGTTCAAAGAAGAATTGCCATATGCTAGGTTATTTGAAATGTCTTCTTTTTCATTTTTTTTTTTTTCTTTCAAACTGATCATACTGAGGCACACTGAGAGCTCGAGACAAGGTTTTATTGCTGCCTCTATTGCTAGCTTATAATTAGGCTTAAACTTGCTGCTGCGTCTACTGAAGGCAGTAGATTTACATCAAATCATTCTTCAAAAGGAGTGTCATGTTAAGAGTCCTTTGATTGGTTTCTTTACCTATCTCTTTGGCTTCTTTACCTATTCCTCTACCATTCCTGATCACAGTTTTTACACCAGGTCCTGGTGTACAATGTGCTATATAAATATAACTTCCCAGTTTGTCACTTCAATTACTAATGCTAAGCACACATTATTTGTGATAACATTGGGTTTTAAGACGTTAAATCTAAACTCAGAGGAGTTCAGTGTAGAGCAAGGTGCTGCGTTTTATTGGACCAAACTTGTCAGTCTTTTTTCAGTGTGATCTTAGACTTGTTGCTCACCCCCTGCCCATTCCGTGCAGTTGACTTTTGCTGCTGTTAAAAATATCAGCAGCTGCCAAGTTGTGTTTTTCTTTGTCGAGGGAATGGCTGACATTCCAGTGCAGCATGTCCTGCTTTCCTTGCACTAGTTTGTAAGATGACCATGGAGGTACTGAGCACTGCTGTATATGTCAGAAGGAAATATGTAGTGAGACCTAGTCTTTTAGGAGTATTGTTGCTGTTGTTCCGTACTTGAAACTTAGGGAAAAAAAGTTTTGCAGGAAGTTTGACTGCATTTATATTTGATTCACTGTGAAACACACTTGCAGAAGCAAAAGGTTTTGCAGATATTGCCTACTAGTGATAACCACGTGCACATATATTTTGTTTTCACCTCATTGGATCAGCTTACTAGTAAGAAAAGCGCCTCGCAAATAGGATGAGTCGGTGGCAAAATGCCCATGTCTCCTACGCTGAGAGAAAGAGAGAATGCTATTACCGGGCATCAGCTTTTTCCTTTCTATTCAGGATAAATGTATGCAAATAACTCGTAGCTTATTTCATATGTGATGGCAGGGGGGTTTGCATCAGGAAAGCAGAAACCAAAGTAACCAAAATTTGAAAACAGTAATTCTTGGAGAGGTGAGTTGTTTCTTCCTCAAAGTCCATGGGGTGACAGGCACCAAACCCTGACTACAAAGAACACTGTGATTCAATAATATGTGCAGCCACTGAACTAAATCGGACTTAATATTAATTGTGTACCTGTGTGTTTGTGTCTTTTTGAACTGCGGCCTGTGGTCCTAAAGTGGAAGCATTTAATGGTTAAAAGCAGGTGACTAGAGAGAAATGGAAGTATTTATAAACATCTGATTGTTGATATTTGGGGATTACATAGTTTTGAAGCCTGGATTACAGGAGGGTGTGACTATTGGTGCCTAAAATGTAAGCACATGAGCAGCTGATCTAAGCGTGGTTTGGTATCTAGTAGTTTGGAGACTGTGGGTTTTGGAGTTCTCTGTAACATGATTGTTTTGGACAAGTGCCAGTAACTGTATGGAAGTCTTTGCCTTCTCACAGCCCTTTGACCTATATCTAGGATGAAAAAAAAAACCTAAAAGAGCTTGGAGGGACAGTAACCATTTAGAAGGGTTGAGCCAGTCACCTTGGATGATAAACTACTTCCAGTCAGACTTGTTCGGTCGGTTTGCTGGAGAAAGGTCACCTTAACAATGAAGTTGACTTGGCAGGGGTCACTCGACACCTGATGGAAGATCATGGGACAGAGCAGATGGCTCACACGGTGCGGAAGAGCAGGAGCTGTCACGTTTCTGGCCTTGCCCTTTTAGGGTTGCTCAGCTGGTGGATAAGTGATTGCATTAGGATCTTTCTGATAGGGGATAAAGTAAACTCTCTTCAATGTGTGTAGAATACACCTTGGAAATGTGCCTTGGGATTCAAGGAAGTTGCCTACTGCAAGAGCTGATTCGGTCATGTACTGTAGCCTGCTCTTCTGATAATACTTCCAGGGCAGGTTAATGAGGTGTGCACAGTCAGAATTTATCCTTCTCTGTTTTGTTAGAACCAGTTGTTAATTAGCCTGATTGCCCAACTTGAACAGAAACTGTGGATTTTAGGAAGAGGTGGGAAGTTACCGGACATAGGGATTCCTACAGCTGGGAACTTGCTGTAGAAAAATGGGAGGAAAATTATAACTGAGATGATTTTTCGGGGACAATGGTAGAGCTAGAGTTAATAATGTCATTTACACTTGCATATTATGACCTCTACTGCTGGGCAACGTCAGGAGTTTGTGGGTTTTGTGCTTTACTTTTAAAGCGATAAGGGGAAAGCAGATCAACTGTGAAATGGTCCTAAAACAGTGGTTGCAGTATAATAGGAAATGGAGAACCAGAGAAGCCAGTCAGGAGAATCTTCTTGAATTTAGAAACTAAGACTAGGCAAATCTTCATTTTTTAATACTGCATTCAAAGGCTGAAAAAAAGAGACAGCTAAGGCATTTAAGTGTTAAATAGTAATGGAATTAATGTCTCACTCAAGCAGTACACACTGCCAGACTTCATGCTGGCAGACTGAAAATCCCAGTTGGAGAGTTGCTGAATCAGTTATTTCTGCCTTGCTCTGTCACCAGCAAGCACAGAAAATGTGTAGGGAAGTTCAAAAGTCAAGGCAGTGGATTTGCAGGATCCAGGCTTTGTCTATAAATCTGTAGTAGTAAATGTGTCTTTGTTAAAGAAACTCAAAGCGCTGTCTGAGGAACACATCCCTGTGTGGTGTTTACTGCGATTCACACTGTTTGCGTGGATCTGAAATTTGGGGTTTTTGCTGGTGAGCTGTATGGCGTCGCAGCGGAAACCACGTTGTGTGTGTGCAGACACAGAATATGAGCCTGATAAGAGATGGCTTACAATTGTGCCTTCTGTATCATGTCCTGAATCCAAGGGAGCTTTTAGTGTGTGAAGTGCCATTAGAGAAGTAAATTCCATTATTTTAAGACATACAGTTTTATGGTTTAACTGAAAAAGGCCTACTTAGGATACTATAATTTTTCTCTGCCACTACCTATAATGTGATCTTAGCCCTGTGATAGCACACATCTTTAATGCAGTGAAGTGAGTTGTGCCATATTAAAAACTCTTGAAGCAGAATGAATCTTTTTAAGTTTTTCTTGTGTCTGCTTAGTAGGTTATCAGTAACTATGAAGCTGCCTCCTTATCCTGGAAAAGGAAGTTAGGTTAACAGGTTTCATAAAGTTGCATCTTTCTCTTCCATATAGCATTCGTGCTAGGAATGAAAGGGAAGGTTGTGTTTGTTCCTCCTCTTGTAATTCTCATTAATTTCATTATCGTTTAAAGATTTGAGAAGTAACATTGATGACTGTCCTACAGGTTTCACTGTGTGCTGCTCTTGGGGAGAATATGGGGCTAACAGTAATGGAATTATCTGCCTACAAATTCAGAGGATGCTGTTGCAATAGTTAAATTCTGTGAGGTTGGCTGCATAACCATAAAGCTTATAACTTCTGGAACATATAAATGCTTGTTGGCTTTCAGTACCTATCAATGTTATACAACAATTGATGGGTCAGTCATCTTAGCAAAGAAGCTTCCTATCTCTTAAGGTGAAAATGACGTTCTAAAAAATTTAGTGTGTCACTTTTACCTCTACTTTGAAGATATAATCATTTTGATTTTGGGGAAATACAGTAACCTAAACTCTTACTGGATAGACAATAAGCAGAAAACATAAATAAGGATGTTTTCTGTAAATGCTTCAGTCCAACCAACTGTGGATACATTTGAGAGAAGGGAGCCAGTGTGAATCACTGGTGTATTTTTCCATTTGTTTTACTAGATCTGCATGGTAACTGGTCAAACAGTCTGTGCATTTCTGATTATTTTAAAGGGAATCTCTTTTTTTTTCTAGAGTAAAATCATAATTTTTTTAAGACTGTTTTTGTTTTCTTTCCTGCAGGGGTTCTGCAGTTGCCAAAATAGTAGGCAATAATGTAAAAAAATTGCAGAAGTTTGCTTCCACGGTGAAGATGTGGGTCTTCGAGGAGAATATTAATGGGAGAAAACTGTCAGATATCATAAATAGAGAACATGAAAATGTAAAGTATCTCCCTGGACACAAGCTGCCAGATAATGTGGTAAGGCTCAGAAGCTAAATTATAGTTATGGAGCAGAGGGAATATTGCTTATGCTGTGAATGGACGTAAAAAATTGTTTTTTAACACCTTTAGGGTTTATAATATTTCAGACTATATGCTATTTTACTGATGACTTCAGAGATTTGACTCAGTAAAATTATGTAACTATGCAGTTAAGTAAATCCAGTGCACTCTACTCTCTCTTTTTCTTTGGTCTCGCTATTGTCTTTATGTTACTTCAGCTTCTGTATAAAGAAGCAAAGGTGAAAACAAGGGCAAAAGTAACAGCTTTGACCATACTCATTAAAGAAAAAAAATTAGCCTCAACTTTGGAAGGGAGCTGGCTGGTCAGTGAGAACTGATGTCAGGTGTCCTGAAACTCTTTAAAAGTATTGATGAGAATCAGAGTGTTTCTCAAGCAAACTTCAAGGTGTTTGCAGTTTATTTGGTTCTCAGTTGTGTTTCAACCACGTGCAGCCAGATCAGCGTGTTAGATGTAGCCTTGGCAGGGCAGAACAGTGGGACTCCACATGTATTCTCTGTTGGTGTAACGTGATGGTGGGTGAGCAGGCGGTGACTCCTGCCCCAAAAATATTATAAGAGGCTGTAGCTGCTGACAGTTCAGTAGAGCTTTTGGGCAGGAAAAAACATGACTGGCTGTGCATTGTAGTTTTCTCTTCAACCATAATCCTGAAATCCCATTTCCACAGCCTTCAGCAACTGTGGTGGGTTTTTATCTTTATCAGATACCACTTGTGTCTAGTGTTAATTTTGAGAAGTTACGTGGCCTTTCTCTCCCATAACCACACAGGTTGCTATCCCAAACCTTAATGAAGCTGTACAGGATGCAGACTTGCTGGTTTTCGTCATTCCTCATCAGTTCATTCATAAAATCTGCGATGAAATCACAGGGCGAGTACCCAAGAAAGCGCTCGGCATAACTCTCATAAAGGTATGATAAATACTATGTGTTAGTAACCAAGAACGTGTCAGGGAATCTTCTAAAACAACATGGCTTGGTATTTTGATATGGAAAGTCTCTGTGCATTATTCACTTGATTGTTCCATTAAACCTTTCCAGGTGTAAGATTAGAATCTGTCTCGGTCATTAGTGGATTGTTATGCAGTGTTTCGTTTTAGGTTAATGCTTGCAGGAAGAGGAAAATGAGGCTGGTAACAAGACTTTTAGAAAGAAAGAGGGAGTCAATATGTTTTGCACCACTAAGCTTTCCAGTCTTTTATTTGTTGTTTCCAAAAGCATCATTAGATGAAGAACAGAGCACAAGCATAATGCTTTGATTGTTAATGCACATCCCACATGCTGAGTTGATGATTTTAAGAACTGCTGAGAGAATTTCATGTGACTGAGAGGATAGTGCTCTTGTTCATGTCAAATATTATGTTGCAACGAGAGTGTCTGTTCAGCATTACCTGAAAAGACAGTTTAAGCACAGGAAATATGAGGGGGCAGAGGTGCAGGAAGTGTTTTCACTGGAGTATTTGTAATTTTGCTGGCAGGAAAATTTTAAAATGTGGATTAGCTTATTTTTGGAGTTGTTTTTTGGGTGAGTGGGCTTTTTTCCCCTGTGTGTTTAGCTGCAAATAATAAGCCATTCCCACAAGGTTTGGAAGATTCTGGGTTGTTGTTGCTTTGTTGAGAATAGGCCATTTTCTCAGCACACATTCCCTTGTTTACTGTCATTTCTGGAAAATGATACATATATGGATCTGTGCTCAAAAAGAACAAAAAGCCCCTATCACTGCTTACTGCAAGCTTGTCCTTTTAGTTTGTCTAACTAAGCCCATCAAATCTGTTTGGTTTTGTCAGTGTTGACCTGGTATATTGCTGACATGTATGAAAAAGTAACGCTTCTGGAGTGCTCTTGCTGCATTTTGTAAAAAAACTCTTCGTATCTTAGAAAGGTAAAATAAGGCACTATTAAAAGGTTTGAATGCATAGCTCAAGATAAATATTCTCTTTTTTATTTGCTAAACGTGATTTTTGTTCTCTTGTCTATAGTGAAAGGAGTAACTAATGAATTAGTGGAGTAAATGAGGATTTATGTCAACATAGCTGAAGTCAGGGTCCCGGGCCTATATTCCCTTGGAATTATTGTTCTGATTATCGGTGCTCCAATGGAGTGTTGATTAATGGCTATGTTTAAAAAACCAAGCATGTGGGGAAATACTTATCTTTAAAGAAAAAAATATAATCCAAACCCCAAACAAACCATCAACAACAAAAAAAAATACCCCAACAGAACAAAAAGCCCGTGCTTAGCGTAGTGGAAGTGAAATAGTGGCACCTGCCATGCAAAGCAGAGTTAGTTACTTGGCAGCTTCCCACAGTCACATTCCAACACTGCATCCATAGGCAGCCTTTCCAAAGAAGGTCTGTGAGGCCTCTTAATATTTTGTGGGAGAATGCAAAATACATGTCAGTTTTTATGAAAAGTCGTAACTGTGCATCATTAAAAGTATCATTTAAAAAGAAATTGGTGGAGATTTAGCACAACAATGAAACTAAGCAATAGAGGCAGGAATGCATTCTTTCCTCTACTTTTGCATCTTCTTTATGCAGGCTGTTTGCATCAAAGTCATATTTTTGTGTCTTTTGCTCAATGCTAAGGCTGTTAAAGTGGCTTGTGTTAACTTTGGCAGTTAAAAGTGCAGTTCTGCTCTGAAAAATACCCTTAGTGGGGCATCTTGTTTCTGTGCTTTCTAAATTGTTTGACACCTTAGCTGTGTGTCATCTTGTCACCTTTTAGTCTTTTTTTTGTGTTTTGTTTTTTTTTTTTTTTTCTTTCTTTTTCTGGACAGACTAATCTTCAAGCAGAGCCTAACATCTGACAATAAAACTAGTTTTTGGGAAGTAATGACGTTTCTCTGCTGGGTAATACACATTTCCATTGAAATATTTGCATCTGTGTTGCTTTACATGAGTTCTGTGTCTATGGAAACCTAACAAATCACTGTGTGGGTGTGGGGGGAGGAACCTTATACAACTTACAGCAAGTGGTACAGCAGTGAGCACACGAAGCAGGTTAGGTGAAAGGCATTCAAAACACTCTTCGGCAACCTCAGCATCAGTCTCATTTTCATTCACCTATTATAGGCCCCAGGGATTGCTCTGACAGGTGTGTTAGGATGCAAACGATACGGTCACAGAATTGGACTTGCATTGCCTGGGGACCATTGTTGCCCAGTGAAAATACCCATGTTAGAGCCTTGTTTTTTGGGGGGGAGGAAGATGTTTGGGTTTTGTTCTATCATCTATCATTCAGTATTGGATTTCATTCTAAAAGAAACAGGTACAGCTCTCCTTCTGACTTTGTCAGAAGATACCTCTGTTTCATAGTAGAGCAGAATTTGGCACCTAAGCCTTTCTGATCTCCTTTTTTCTGCATGAATAATTGTTATGTAGTTATTCACTTTTTTGGAGTTGTTCCCAATATGTGTGCTTAGGGAGGGGGGCCTTACAGTTATTTTGTGGGGACATTTTTGACACTGTGAGGGGAAAAATACAACATATATATGTGTACTTACTTTCAGATTATTTCTGTATGGCTCATTAAAGATGAGAAATAGATTTGTGCATTAAGTGATACAGATTGAAAAATAATGCAGAAATGCAAGCACTATCTTAATTGGCAGGTTTTATACAGGCATTTCTGCATGTCTCTTGATTGCACCATGTTATTTAAGGAACAGCACCTCTTATCTGTGGAAATGCAAATTACTGCCTGTCTGAAATGTCACCACCGGCAGCATACAAGTGTATGTGTGTCTATGTATATCTGGAATTAATAGAGGATCACACATCATAATTAAAGATTACCGATCCCCCAAAGTATCAAATCTCCAACATTAAAAAATAGTACTACACAAAGGGTGGTATACTGTGGGAAAGAATGAGCATTTTAATAGCTTGTCTGCCATACTCCTGTTTAAAAAACTCAAAAAGTATTCTGCATTTAGCAGGCTGGGACGGAAGGTTTTGTGAGAAGAAAGTGGTCTCATTTGGAGTTCTTGGTTCAGGCAAGCAGGGTTTCTGCTCATAGAGAATGAGCATGAGGGAGTCTGCCTCTCATAGTTCAGATGCCTCTTCACAAAACAAGTTATTCAGATGCCATTTTGTGAGTTTTGGTGCAATTTCAAGCCCAAATGCAGGCCTGATTCATAATGGATGGATTGGTTATGCTTCACAGATTGTATTAAGAATACAATTGATAATAAGTAGCTGAGATTCTGAACTGACAACATTGAATATTCAACACTTCTTAGAATCAGGTCCTTGAGCATGGAATAAAAACTGTTATCATCATCTAGGGCTTAGTCCTTATTCTTAAGGTGCCACCTCCCCTGATTCTAAGAGGTCACAATAGCAGAAGTTTCCCTGGTAGTACATCTGTCATCTCTAGTCTCTCTCTGAGTAGGCCTTGTTTCACTTCTCACCCGTGGACAAGACTTATTGTGTGCTTGCTTCTCTGCTGTGCCTAATGAATGACTTGTTAGTAATTCCTTTTAATGTTGGCTGCAGGGAATAGATGAAGGCCCGGAGGGACTCAAACTGATCTCTGACATTATTCGAGAGAAGATGGGAATAGACATCAGTGTGCTGATGGGAGCTAACCTTGCCAATGAGGTGGCAGCAGAGAAATTCTGTGAAACCACAATAGGTATTGTTCCAAGTATTAAGAATGTTTAACACATGCTCCTGTCCTCACAGTTGCACACCAGATACCTCAAATTTCACTGTTTTCGACATAGCTGGCTATTGTCAGAGCTGTTGATTGAATTTTTTTAAATGTTTACACTTAAAAAAGTACTAGGAAAATACTGGAAATATAGGGAGAGAGAGAAGCACAATTTTACCCATTCTCACTTGGGTTGTGACTTAGCATGTGAAATACGAGCATGCTTTTTATCACCCCACAGAGCAAACTGCTTGATTTTATTATTCTGTTTAAGATTTTCTTGGTCTGCATGGCTTTATGTGGATAAACAATTATATTTTCTGTGTTCCAGCTCTGATGTTATGGTCACAGATGGTACCTTTATGCATGTTTGTTTTGGTTTGATTTTTTGTTTGTTGTTTTAAGGTATCAATGTCTTGTTTTAATTTCTCAAAACACTTTTTTCGCCCAAAAGCTAGAAATTGTTTTAGTTCCATGTTGATGTCTGCACACCTTCGCAGCACGAAGATGTGCCCAGGTTTGAATTTTACTGTTTCTAAACAGGCATATATGTGTGTGTATGCATACAGGTACACATAATAACACAGAGTTCATGTAATTTTTTTCAGTGTTAATTTCTTCAGTTTTGTGCATTGTTAGCTTTCTAACATCTCATTCGCAATTTTTGCATTGAACTTGACTTTGAATGCTTGAATTACCTCTTAGTGTTTAGAAACAGTTGTCAGTGGCAGCATGCTCAATTAATAAAACATCCTTGACATGCATTTATCAGTAGGTATTTTTCTGGAATGCAGGCTTTAAAATAATTGATAGAATTGCTCCTGCTGTATTCTTAATTCACCTTTGTTTTTTTTATTAACTGGGATTTTTTTTAAGAGAATGATCAAATAATGGAGAGTATATAGAGAATTCATGGAACTGTTATTTAGAATCTGTTGCTGAGCAGACAGTTAATTATTAAGAAGCTCAGAGTAACTCAGTGCAGAACTTTCAAGTGCAATGTAGACATGTCCTTGGTCCCTTAGAACAAGAATCTGTTTAGGATGGAGCTAGAAAAACCTTATCTCTGCTTTTAAGTGTTTTGGCTTGCACAGGAAAGCTAAATAACATATAAATAAATTATTCATTATTTTAGCTTTCCTTTGTCTCTCTCAACAGGCAGCAAAATCTTGGAAAATGGCCTTCTCTTCAAAGAACTCCTGCAGACTCCAAACTTCCGAATAACTGTAGTAGATGATGCAGATACAGTTGAGCTTTGTGGTGCTCTGAAGGTAAGATTAACTGGCTGCTGATGGTACACAGATGTACCTTGTGATCCTTGTAGAAAAAAAAGGGGGCATTTCCATTTAAGGAATTAAATTTATTGTGTTTTTTATAATACATAAAACTGGTACATAGCACTTCCAGAAGAACTAGACGGGAAATTGGGGAGCAGCGTGTTCTGAGAGCCGCCTTTTAGACCCATGTCTCACTATCTCCCAAGTTCTCTTTCTACATCTTTCCCTTAGCAGTCATGAACAAGTACCCTCTAACTGGTCGATGTATTTCTAAATCTGTTTTAGTTCCCTTCTTTTTTTGCAACAGTGTGTTCACAAAAAGAAAGGGAAAAAGGAGTTGGCAATTATCTTTTGTGTCTATTGACAAAACTGTTCCTCTCTTCATTGGCATGAACAATGTGAGCATCTTACGTTTTATATTTTGTGGACATAGACTGGATAAGGTTTGTGTGGATGACCACATCCAGAAATGACCTGAATAAGAAAAACATTATTTCGGACAGTTAACTCATCCAAAATTTTTTTGGTAGAAAACTGATGCTGTCAGGAAGCAAAGGCTAACTTAAACATACTCTAATTACTATTCCTTCAGATTAATTTACAGGCCATTTGTGAAAGGAAGGCACTAGTTTCTTGGCACTGTGGGCAACAGTACCATGCTTCACATCATCTGATACCTATTGTGAATCATTTTTGATGGGTGTAATGGTTTACTAGATAATTTAGGTTACTTTTTTATTTTTTATGTTTTGAATAATTACTTCTCTTACTTTGGCTTTGCTGCTGAAATTTTGTGTAAACTGCATCATTCGTTTGCAAAGCTGTCACACTAAGCAGTGATGTCTTTAAGATGAAGTAGAGGAAGTAGATTGATAGCTACAATAGCATATTTTTTAGCATACTTGTTTTCTTGATAATTCTGTCATGCTGGAAGTCCTGAGGAGGAGGTGGTTGTGGGTCTGTGCATTGTTGGGGTTAGGTGGTGCAGCATGTTTTGAAGTTACTGTATATATAACAGTTTCTCAATTTGGCTCTGTAGCCATTGCTTTTAAATGCTCTGGTGGTGTGGGAGGTTAGCAGAAAAGAAATCCCTGTGTAAAACCCCCTGAAATTAGTAAAGAAGTTTTACAGATTTATCTTCCTTTCCAATCTGCTCAGCAGGATGTTTTCTTACTAGCTTAAATTCTTGTTTGATAGAGGAGTTCTGTCTCAGGAACTTTTTTTTATTCCAGACAAATCTTTTGAAAGGGTGCTAGAGATGAGCCCAGCAAACTAAGCAGGTAGTCAGCAGACACTCAAAACTCCACTGTAAAGGTCCAAGTCAGGCAAAATGCAAAACTCAGATGTAAATAGCACTTTTCTTAGAAGTTGTATATACTTATTTTGAGGAGAATTGTTTGCTAAGGGTAACAACAAGAATGTTTCTTTTTTTTAATATTAATCTGAGTCCTTATAGTAAGAATGTGAAAAGTAAGCATCTTTTGGTATGGTTGTTTTTAGGGGAAAATTTCATGTAGCTTCAGTCAGTTGACTGTTACGTTCTTAAATATAGAAAGATACTTCATGAAAACATAGTGAAAATTAACGTTATTTAACTTGCTGGAAGGAGGAAATTCCTATTTCACAAGACGACAGTGTCATGTGTTAAGGTACAGGTATAAAAAGAGAGGTTTTACTCTCTGTCTGTAGCAGTGCCAATTCAAAATGTCAGTAATGCCACTGCAAACTACAGCTGGGAGGACAGAGGTAAGCAGGCAAATGTCTTTTTGAGTGTGGAAATAGTAAAAGCAACTCATGGATTGGTATTTAAAGCATGAGAAATAGTACCCTATGAAAAACAGTACATTCTCCTAGCTTCTGCATTTTTCTCTAAATACCAGCTTAGGAAAAGAAGACTTTTCTGGTATTACTGGCATAATGGACTAGAATGTTAAAAACCTATACTTTACCTCACTTTTTATTTCTGCAAGCCTTTCTAAACAGGGAAGATTTTCAATGTGGGTAGTTGCCTAAAGGCTGGGAAAAAATACAGAAGGGTAACAAAGAACGCTCTGAGCTTCCCCTTACAATGATAATTTTAAGTTTGAAATTTGTTTTTTGAAGCCTATTTGAATTCAGACTGTAATAATAGGTATTGCTGCTCGGTGGTCATGAGAGGACGTGTACCTGATCGCTATTTATATACATATATATATGGAATATCCACTTCATTTACTGTATTTAGATTTGTGACAATGGGCTGAGGGAGAGACAGTGAAGTATGGAAATCATTGCAGTGAAACTGCAGTCTTGAGTCAGCTTGGAGACTGGCTGAATAGACAGTGGCAGTGACTGTACAAAATCTGATGATACTGAGGAGGAACAGATGTCTACAGTATCTTGTTGGCTGTTGAAACAAAAAGTGCTTGGCATACTCTCCTCTGTGATGACTTTTTTTCTTATGAAGAGTGATGCACATTTCCCATTTGTTTGGTGACCTTTTGTAAGTGTTGAGGTCAGGAATGAACAAACTTCAAATATTGGGTAGTTGGCTTTACAGGTGGCCTGACTCAAAGCCACCTGCAAGTTCCTCTGCCTTTACCAGAGGATGAGTGGGCCTCCCTAGGGAACGCTTAAAGGTTATGACACCGCTGCAGGGGTGGTGTGTGCAGCTGTGCATACGTATGGACGTGCTTCTGGTTGCTGATGGATGTGATACTGCAGAGTAGCACAGACCCAAGGCTGTCACCTCTGAGGTGTCCTTACAGTCCTTACTGCCTGTGCCAGTGTAGGGCCTTACAGGCAGTGCAGATGTGAGGCCAGACTGCGCTGGTGTGCGATCCCAGCAGCGTACTCGAGAGGCAATGTAAACGCTGGTACCCGCGCTTCTGGGGGTAAACTGTACCTGAATCACTTACCCAGTGCAGCAGTGCCAGGGTGAGTGTGAGAGGAGGAGGAGTGAGAACCTAACCTCTGGATGTGGCAAAACAGCCGTGCTCCAGCTGCCCTAAGTTCAGGGATCTGGAGAGTTAGAAACCCTCAAGTGGCAGCAGCCAAAGACCAAGACATATGTGACAGTTCCTGTAGGAAGGAGAAGGAGCAGCAGCTGTCATTGTCTTTCAGGTACCTTCAGGCCTGACTCTAAATCTTATGGCTCCAGCATAGCCCTAAGAAAAGAAGTAAGAAATATAGTGATGATTAATTGTTTACCAGATTATGTAACCCAGCATTGTTACTTGCAAAGGTGGTCTTGCAAAGTGTGTTTAGGGCAGTCACTGTTGGATGGTCAGTCTAGGTACCGTAGAATTCAACTGTGGTAGTTTTTTCCTTTTTCCTGAGCTTAAGCAGAAATGAAATTCAAGTTTGCCAGGAGCAAGCAAACAGTTTATACTTAACCTCTCTGACAGTCCTGCTGATGTTGTCTTTGATTTTTTGAGACTTCATTTGACCTCTCTCAACCATCACGTGAAGCAAGGAGCTTCTCCAAGTTCATGTGTAAGCAGAGGGAAAGCAGGCTGTGCTGAGCTGTGATGCTACTTCAAGGAAGGCTGGATGTCCCAGGTGAAATAACGTTTCTGCTTGGTTCTCTTACTGATCCATTTGATTATGGAGAGGTAGCAGTTGCCTCAGAAATGGCTGCTGAAGCTGCCTTCATGAGCTCTCCATAAACGTTCTGTGAACTGGAAGCTTGATAGTTCTGAGCACTGACTGTGTAAGAGAACCTGTCAGCAGACTTACTGTCATTGTTTTCTTGGTTATCTGTTGACCTTGCATTTGTGACCTCTGGCATGTTTGCAGCAGGTCACGTGCAAGTAAGAGACACTTCTTCTCATTTGTTCTGACACATACTGTGAGCACTGCCTGGCATCAGCGTTTCTTTTCCAGACCATAGCTTCACTATCCAGTGATAAAGTAACTGAATCCATTCCTTGCTCATGGTCTGGAATAAGTAGGAGTAGGGCTAGCTCCAGCTTCTGGACCAGACCATCTAAGGGCTCGCCTGTTAGGGCAGAGTTTTTAGTACCTTAAAACCATATGCAGTATAAACCCACCCTGTGCATCTTGCTTACAGGATGAATGCTTTAATGTAAAAAGCTGTTAATGCCAAGATATGGGAAATGTGTTTGCTCAAGCGTGTGGTGAGTTTAAAAGCTCTGAATCCCTCAGGCCAAGAGGAACACTGTGTTGCAGTAATTTTGGGATTATATTGTGGCAGTATTTTTGAACCTTTGGAACAACAGGTGGGCCCTTGCTTATTGGACTCTCAGACTCCCATGTGTGTATGCAAATACTGTCAGTTTTTTAAGCTCATGGAAACATTGACTCTCACCACCTGCAATTATACACCCATTGCATTTGCAGGAATTCTTGTATTAAACTGAATTCTTTCAGTTTAATAACTGAAATAAAGTAAAATATGGTAACAATAACAACAATAGTAATAGTAGTTGTAAGGAAAAGGAGAGAGAGAAAACCCAAGAAAAACAAGCAATGCACATGAGAGTTGCTCACCACCCACTGTCCCTGAGCAGTGGTTGGTGGCTCCTGGCCAACTGCTCCCTGTTGATATACTGGGTTCTATTGTATGGAATATCCCTTTGGCCAGTTCAGATCAGCTGTCCTGATTTATGTTCCCCCCCGTCCCCAGCTTCCTGTGCACCTCCTCAGTGGCAGAGCATGAGGCACTGAAAAGTCCTTGACTTAGAGCAAGCACTGCTCAGCAACAGCCAAAACCATCTGCATGTTATCAATGTTATTCTGGATTCAAAACACAGCACTGTACCAGCTACTAAGAAGAAAATGAACTCTATTCCTACTCAAGCTAGGACACTTCAGATGTAGGCTTTGGCAGTGGCAGCATCCTGGATCAACCATGTGAGACACAGAAAGATGTTTTTGCCAGATCTTAACATGGTTGTGCCCCCCACAGAGTGCTTCTCAGAGCATCAATGTAGTGCTAGTGCCATTAGGCTCTTGTGTGTCAATTTGTCTTTTGCTTATGCATCTTCCTGAAACGAACTCAGCTTACTGCCTACACCCAGAGATTTCAGGCACCAAAACTGCCTGTTTTGGTCTCGTTTTGGACTGAAGGATGACTCAGTCGAAAGTTTCTTGAGATTTTTGTGATGGTGGTTTTGTTTTTAAAAGGAGTGGCTCATCTTTGAGTAAGGTGTAACTTTCAATGTGGTATAATTAGTTCTCTACAGTATATTAGACAGTCGTCAAAGGTTCTTCAAGGATTCAAATGAAACCAGATGGTAGACCTTGTAAATTCATAGTTGTGGCCTGAGGGTTATGTAGACCAGGATATAAGAGTCTCCTAGGCATGGGTGTGTGTTCTAGAGCATAATCAGTTGTCTTGTTTCCCCATTATTTGCAAACTGCATTAAGAACATACAATGGGGACATTGTACAAACAAGGAGCTTAGTGTTTTAGAGTTGAACTCACAGCTTCCTTTGTTCCCTACACCATTTCCTCTGAAGTAACTAGTCTTGGTACGACTTGGTTAAAAGAGTATTTCTGTTGCTCCAAAGACAAACATTGCGAAAGGTGGAAGTAGACAACAAAATACCGTGGCCAAATTGTATTGTTTATTATGATCAGGTAGGCTGCTTTAAAGTGGAGAGGAAAGTCGAGGAGACAAAGTTGGAGGGAATGGGAAACTTTAGTACTGAAGCGTTCAAGAAGCATATGGAAAAAGCTCAGAGGTTGCTCAAATATGTTTTTGTTTTTAGCTAAGCATGCAGACATCACATATATAATATGAATTTAAATGGGCTATCCAGTCTGAAAACTTCTTAAATATCTGTTTGACTTCCTCTTGCTCTGCCACCAAGTGAACAAATACTGGAGGTTGCTCTGCAATAGGTATCTGATGAAAACATACCTTGACTGAATCACCACAGCCGGTATTTAAGCCAAGATGATCTAAAGTACCAGTTTTGAAATCTGGCTGTCTTTGGCTGCTTCAGTTTTGATGTTGAGAGATCTGTCTGCAACTTTTAGGGTCACCTTTAGGCCTCAGCTAGCTGCTCAAAAAGCAGTGACTGATCCTCTGACCTCATTTGATTCGGAGTCACTTCGCCATGACTGGCCACACAGCTCTGCAGCTGTCTGGCATTTGTGGTTCTTACAGTCCAAAAAACAAAACCACACCAGTTGTTAAACAGCTCGTTTCTTTCGTTAGCAGCTTCTGACTGTTGCTCTTTCTTCATCAACAGTTAAAGTTGGTTTGATTGGTTGATTTTATTTTTTTCCTTGCATCAGGTGCTGCATTAGGTGCCCTAATGTTCATTCTCCTGTGCTTTCTGTTGAGGTCACTGCTGCTGTTGCATGCAAAAAGATACTACTACATCCAGTACTTCCTTGTTTGCTTTATCAATATGCCAGAACACTATCTTTTTTGGGGGGTTTGGTACAGTTTGTTGAGGGGTTTGGGTTTTTTTTGGTTGGGGCAGTGGAACTGTGGCTAGTCTTTGCTCTGACTCCCAGGCTAGAAAATAGTTTTTATAGTCACTTCACTCTAATGTCTCTCATCTAATCCTTATGTTCTTAAACCAAAGAAGAGATCATATAGCTGATTGTTCATGAATAAACAGCACATTCTTTATAGAATGCTGTCAGCAGGTCTAAGGAAAAAAAAACACTTTTTTTGCTAAGAAAGTTTATCCTGTGTCATGAACCTTCTGGGAATCCTTGATTAACTATTACTGTTACAGAAACTCTGCATACTTGAAAGGGCTGGTTACTATTGGCTTGGCTGAATTTGGTCCTTTAGGATGTCAGTGTTCCGTTTATGTAGTGTTACTTAATCATAAAGAAAATCTGGATAAAAGGACTATGGGATGTCAATCTAACTTTACCCCCACCTCGGGGCAAGAGTATCTCAATCTAGCTAAAACCTTGTTCTGGTTTAGTACAACCTGTTCTTAGATATAGTCAGTAATAATAGCTCCACAGCCTTGGGGGCAACTTGTGCCAGAGCTTTAACTGTGCTTTTATCCTTGGAAATACTTAGTAATGTAAGGCTTGACATGTTTTTTTCTTCTTTTTTTATTTTTTAAAGGTTATCCTATAGACATCAAAATCCCCAAACCAAAATAGCCCAAAGCAATCTAGTCTTTCACTAGTAAAGTGTTTGCAGTTCTTAAAGACATCTGCACTCTGTCTTTTGGTGTCTTCTAGGATCCTGTAAATGATTATTGACTCATTTCCCCTTTCTCCTCTCATTAGAATATAGTAGCAGTAGGAGCTGGGTTCTGTGATGGTCTTTGCTGCGGTGACAATACCAAAGCTGCCATTATTCGCCTTGGCCTCATGGAGATGATCGCCTTTGCCAGAATATTTTGCAAAGGACAGGTGTCTACTGCCACTTTCCTGGAGAGCTGTGGAGTTGCTGATCTCATCACAACGTGTTATGGTGGCCGGAATCGACGTGTAGCAGAAGCATTTGTTAAAACTGGAAAGGTACCTCATTCACTGGGTGAAATCTGTGTTTGCATTCCTGGTTTGTTGGAGCAATGGTAGAGGTATCTGAATCATGCCAGCTCGAATGAGTGAGTGCCCTTCTCTTTCCTCTTGTTACAGAGTGTTTTACAAGGCTAGAATGAGTGTAAAGGTGTTAAAAAGGGCAGAGGTGATTTAAAAAAAAAGCCCAAGACTTAAGATGCTGGGAGATGCAGATTTAAGAAGGAGAATATTGACAAACAAGAATATAGGAGAATATTATATATGCTCAATCAAGGTCACTTTTGAGAAAGAAAAAATCCTCAGTAACTTTTTTTTTTTAATCCAGATTACGATGTCAAGCTTCTGAAAATTTCATCATAGCTCTCCTTTTCTTTCTTTTCTTCTCCCCTCTGTTGATTAGTCTATTGAAGAATTAGAGAAAGAAATGTTGAATGGTCAGAAACTGCAAGGACCACAGACTTCTGCAGAAGTGCATCGCATCCTGAAGCAGAAAGGAATGCTGGAGCAGTAAGAACAGATAAAACAACTTCCACATATCCCTTTTTTATCTCCATAATTCTTTCTGCATATTCGGTTTTTCATATCTTCATAAATGTAATAGCCAAAAATAAAAGCATTGCAATAAGAGCAGCTTAATCCCCAGTTAAAATCAGAGAGAGAAGTGAATAGAACCTCAAAATATCTACTGGTGTAGATAGAGCTATTAGTGGGACGTTAAATTTGTGAATGTCCTTCTTTTGCAGAATGTATTATTGCCTTCTGCTGCTACAGAAAAGCACAGCAAGTGTGTTCTAACATGTGAAAAGAATAAAATGCATGAAAACAGAAGCGGAGCTTCCTGAAGAGACTTGTGAAAAGGCTCTAGAGCTCATTTCATAGTAGGAAATTCATTACTTACCTCCAAGGAGAGGAGCTTTGTTATAAAGAACCCATTATAGGTGATCATCTGAATAGAGTGGCTGATTCTACGACATGGATTTTAGCTTAGACACCACAGTTCTCTTTCCTAATGTGATTTCCAGTTTGCTGTAGGTTAACACCTGCCATCTGTTTCTGTAGGTCAGGGCTTTTTTGTGGTATGAAATCAAGGAGATTGTCCTGGCTTTGTTCATTTGTATTTGAGTCAGAACAAGTACGGTTCTTAGAGGCACACACACAGTTGTCTCCTTGTGAGATTAAGGGATGCATTTATCTGTTCCTTTCTATAGAAGAGGCAAAATCAGGAAATATATAACTGCCAGTTAGAAGACCAAGCCTTGTTACTTCTTTTTCCAAAGCAGTTTTTAAAGTCTAGTTTCAATGGATCAGCTACATTAAATGATTAAATTTTTAATATTGTCTTTGGTGTAAAGCACCTAAATCTGTTTCCTCAGTGTACAGTAGTTAAGCTAACTGTAGAAAAAATGTAACTAAAATGTTGGCTTCATTCTTTGCTGCTTATGATTTCCTAAATGAGACAGGATGCTGTGTTTGAGGGGTTTTTAGGTTGGTTGTTTTATATCCTGTTCTACCTTACAACAAATAGAGTGCATTATAGAAGAGTTCAAGATGTGTTTTTAATGAAAGACATGAAAACAAGAGTGTTGCTAATTTCTTTCTGGGATGCCAACATACATGTGCCAGTTCTTCATAGAAGGTCTCATTCAACAAGGCTTTTGAAAACAACTTTTAACGTGTTTTTCAAAAACTACTGCTTTAAAACACAAAACACAGTGAAGCAGCCACAGTTTAAAAGTGAAGAGGTAACAGCGTAGTAAGGGTAAAATTTCATACTCTCTTCCTACCAGAGGAGCCCCAAGGCTGCACAGAAATACGCCAAAGTTCAGCAGAAGAGCCTTGGTGGCAGGGTGGATGCCTGTTGATATCAGCAGTGCAGCCACTTTTTTTTATTTCAACAGTTGTAGACCTCACCCTCTCGATGTGCTCAGGCATAAAGATGCATTTGGGGATTGCTGGCCCTGAGCCTGCAGTCGGCCTTGGCACTGGTCTCCCCGTGTGACATGGGGCAGACCTGTGCACAGCAATGTGCTCAATGATAAGCAGCAGGGCTTCCGTTGTGGTTTCTGGTGCCGGTGCTTCTTCGCTGAGAAGTAACTGCCAAGTGAGGTTTGCTGAGAAGCACAGAAGTCTTTGTGTAAATTCTTTTTCCTGCAGATTTCCTAGGAAGGATTTTGCAACCTAAGTAGTGTAGCCTTGGATTTGAGAGACCAGCTATGTGGCTATATGATAGAGTTTTTTCCTCCAATTAAATAAAACTGAAAATGAAGTCTGTTGGATTGACCTGAAGTAGTTTTTGCTATTGCTGCTATTTTTGCCTCTTTTCCACAAAAATAAGTCAGAATTGACATGCATTTTGCGGTAGAACATTAAAATGTCTCAGGTGAAAATTAAGTTCTACATTTTGAGTTAAGCACTTGTAAAAAAGCCATAGAAATGATGGGCTGAATTCACATGCGTGTCCATTCCCCCACTTTTTTCTCCAGTAATGGGGAAATATTGCATTGAGCCAAGTACAAATCCTGTATGTGCCCCTGAGAACGCAGCAGTCACCATGGTGTGATGGCATTCCTGGCTGGTTCATGGCTTCTCTTGTGACCTCTGGCTCACTTTGAGGAGTCTGGTTTGGAGTGATGTGCTGACACCAGAGTTGCTGCAGTAACAAGTGACAGCAGAGTGTATGGGCAAGCAGGTGTGGTGCTCAGTACTGGCTGGGGATTCTGCTCAATGTTGAAATGTGCATTACAAACAGTGACTGATGGGACAGCTTTCCTAAGGAGAAAGTTCTAGGCCAGATGTATTCTGAATCACTCAGAAATTAACTGTTTCACTATCTCCAGTGCTCCTTATAAAAGGCCACACTGAAATGGCTTATGTATTTGAACAGGTAATTAATCCCTAAAATTCATCAGGCTTTGTATGCAAATGGGAATCATCCAGCTGTCACTGTCCAGGAAGTACAGAAAGCAAATGCAAATTTCTGTAAAGTGTCTATGCTGTAAGAAGCCTTCATATTATCAGAGAAGCCTAAATAATTTGGGGATTGTTGGAAATGTGGCTAATTAAAAATAAAAAAAAAGAAAGAAAAAAGTAGATAGAGAATTGTAGTGTTTCAAAATCCAGGTTTCATTTTGGGTTCTTATTAAAAACTTGGCCTTCAATGTCTTCTTGGGTCTCTTTCTGTCATATTCTGTATTATCAAATTGTTGCTCAGAAGTAATGCATAACTGATGTACCAGTCATCCTTTTTTAACCGTAGATGAGTAGGGCTGTAAGAACGGCCAGGAAAGATATGAGTGTTTGTAATTTATTTTTTAGATCACTTAATGGTTGTGCCATACATAATGAATGTTGCAGGCTCCATTACAGCTAGCTGGGCTTCAGGGAGTGACTCATGTAGGTTTCTGTATTTATCTAGTGCTTTTCAGCCCAGTGTTATCACTTGACAAATAGAAAAAAAAGAATTGTTTTTTTCCATCTCTCCTTTTTGCCCTACCTCTTCTCACTCCATTTTATTTCCCTCATTTAAGAAAACGTTACAGAATAAACTTATGCTGCTTTTGCTTCCTCTGTTTCCTCAGGTTTCCGCTATTCACGGCTGTGTATCAAATCTGCTACGAAGGGAGGCCTGTCAGGGAGATGATAACCTGCCTTCAAAGTCATCCAGAGCACATGTAAAATCAATCAGGCTGTTGAAATAACGCAGCCTGCTGCCTTTCGAATTAATGTCTGGGTTCAAGTGGATGTATCTATCATTAAGCTTCCTTCAAAGCCGCTCACTAGGCAACAGTAACAACATGAATGTCTCTGAAGGGGTGTTGTTTTGTCCTACACAGCCTAGTTTGACACAGCATGCAGTGTTGGCTTGGTGATTGTCGTTCTACTGGCTAAAATGCAACTGGTTTAAGATACGCAGTACGGAAGTTGCACTACAAACCTGGTTTATATACGCAAGTGTACTTTGAGTGTGCTCCTACGCCATAAAACACAAGGGTTTGTTGTCTTTTATTAAGGCCTAATCCAAAATCCACTGGACGCTGTGGGAAGAATCCCACTGGTTTTGATCAGAGACTGAATCAAGCCTGTAACCTTGAGAAATATTAGGAATGTTTCTATTAGAACTTGGTTTTATTTGTATATGCAGTTAAATTTTAACATTTTGCATGCTTATGATTATATTAATTTAAGCAATGTTAGTACAAAACAAGTGGTAGCAGTTATTCAGGGGGCTACAGGGATGTTTTAATGAAATCAAATGAAGAATACTTTGATTTTTGGAAGTTGTTAAAACTGTCAGGTTATTTTGAAACCAATTTCTAAGTGAATTTAAGGGTTTTAATTACACTGTTTTAAAGGGAATATTCTAGAGGGGGATCATTATCTCCCCTTCTGTTTTTTAATCCTTGCATTTTTATATTTCTCAGTTTTTCTCTTACTGTTCCTAGGCTCTTCTAGAATGCCATTCCCCAAAGCAAGCCAGAGATGTTGACCTGGGGGTCCTGAACCCTGGAGCCCATGGTTCACTTTAGTGTTGTACCTGTGGTTGTTCTTCACTGGTATTGTTGGGAGGGTGGGGAAGGATACTCTTGGGTATCCACTGCTCAGAATTGTTCTGCTGTGTTTCTGGCTGAGCTGCAAAGTGTTACACTCCACACAACACTCCAAGGAATGCTAGAGGAATTCTGTGGTAGGTCATGCTTGTGATGTCAGAAGGGTTGTGTGCCAGTAGGATGACTGCATTCATTTCAGTGCCTGCCAGTGACTGACACGTCAACTGGACTGAAGTCTCAATCCAGCCTCCCCAGTTCTGAAGTTACTCTTTCACTGGACGAAACTTCAGTGGGTGCTGAAATCCTTTATGACCCATCTCCCAGAAAGCTTCTCAAAGGCATCTGTCTCTTTTATTCCCCAGGTATCTCAACTAGGTCTTTTTCAGACACCTTTGCTGTATCAGGGAGGATCATTTTAGTTTTGGAAAATTTGTGATTTTTATGGAGTTTAGGGGTGGAGTTGGCTTGGTTGGTCTTTTTTCTTTTTTTCCTTTTAAGGTTGATGCAAGACAAGATAGATAAATAAAACCTGTTTTGCTTTCCTTGTGTACTGAAGTGTGGGTTGGTTTGTTTTTTTTTTTGGTGAAACATATGCTAGGTACATAAAGAGAGGACTCATTCTTCCAGCTGGGAGAAAAGGGTTGACATCAGGATTTACAGAACAAGAATGTCCGTCTGCTCTGAATATCCACTCCTAACCTCTGAGCAGTATCACAACTGTTTTTCATTGTTCTCAGTGGCATTTTTAGACCAGAAATCATGAGCACAAACCCATCCTGAAGCTTTAAGTTGTCATTCAAAACTTGCTAAAACAGGGGGGATGCCTGGGAATAATTGTCATACTTAGGTAGCCTGGATTACTCTGAACAAGGCAGGAATTAGGGCAGCTTTGTGTAGACAGGAAGATGCTTCAGCTCAGGGGTACAATTTTTGTGCTTCTGTATTGTTTTGCATTAATTTTTGGGAGATCTCATGAATGTCCTCAGATATTCAGGGATGTCAAAAGTTCTTTTGCCTTACTTCTGATTTAGTGCTAAATATAACAGATGGCCAGAAGTTAAGTAACACCAGATGTTTGTGGCAGTTGGGAACACCACTGGTAGAGCTGACTTGGAGCAAGCACTCTGCTTAGGCATTTAAGAGGAAGTTCTGAGGTTGGAAGCACTGTTATACTAACGCACACGTGGAGCACACACTCCTCATTACTGCATAACTTTCAGTGTGTTTTCTTATGCTTTCTTTTGTTTGGTTTTTTTTTTTTTTTAATACCAAATTCATTGGCTTTTCCTTTATATGTGTACATATACATTATATATATATAAACTTTTTTTTTTTTTACAGGCAGTATATAGAACAGTAGCATTTTGTAAGATACATAAAGGGCTATATAAGCTAAATGTGGTAAATTAATATATATTTTTAAATTATTTCTTTATTATTCCAATACTACTTCTACCACTGAACCCCCCAAATCTTAACTGTTCTTGTTTTGTACAGAAGCCTATATTCTAAGGCAAATCCAGAGAAAAGGTTTTTATGGAATTCTTTCCTCCAGTCTGTTATGATATTCTTGGTTTTTTTCAGACAAAAAGTGAGGTTTCAGTAACTAAAGTAGTTTATTTAAATTTCTATAGATAGTTCACCATTTGCATTTGCTCTTTAGTGCTTGAGAACCCTCAGCTTGGCACTGAGTGGGGGTATTTTTCCCCCACTAATAATTACTGTTCATTAAAAAGCTGTGATATGGTACTGAAACTGAATGATTAGAGTCCTGTCTTACAAACGCTCTGTTTTGCCTAGTTCTGGGATAGTCTTACCGAAAACATTAACCCCTGTGCAAGGGGTCATAAATTTGTAACTAATTCTTGGTTTATGAACATTAATTATTAAGGAAGGCATTATATTCTAATGATACTTACTCAGCTTGCCCTAGACATATGTACTGGTCTTGTTTAAAGATGTTGAATGTACACCTGTTTGAAGAGTACAAATAAACATTTTTGTCTTGGGAATCATTTTGGTTTCTGTTGTCTCATTTTACATGGTTTGAGATTAATATTTTATTCACTTGCTGGAATGTAGGTTTTTGTGGATATGGGATGTAATGATAGCAGATATGAGGCTGCCATACAAGAACGTGGATTTTAAAAAGAGCTATTTGGCATCCAGATGTCAGCATTTCATTTCTGTCCATTAAAGATACCATTACAGTGCCTTTGACCTCTGAAAACAGGTTCTTGTCTTCAGTTTCTTGAGATGCTGTGGGAGCCACTGGAGGGCACTGGTCGGTAAGTGACCGATTCTGCCTGCTCTGCAGTTACTTTTCTTCTTATTTATTTCTGAATTTCCTGAGGTTCCTGTATGATTGCACCTGTCCTACGCTGTATTCCTTGTGTTTGGAGGTGGTTCTAGTTAAACACCAGATGCATGTGTTGTAGATCCACTGGAATTGCGAGAAGGGGCTTGCTATAAAATGCCCAACACCTCTGCCCATGGCCCTGGCTTGCCTGTCGTGTAAGACCATCCCCGTACAGGGCAACAGCCACTACCTCAGCTCTTGGACAGTATGGTCTGTGAGGTCTTGGGTTCTTGTATTGTGTGTAGAGCAGTGTTTGTTTCTATTGAATGTTGAAGCTGAAAGACCTTGGGAAATAATGAGAGCATATTGTGCTCAGTTTTGTCAGTTTGTATGTTGGTGAGAGGTGTCTTAAGTGTTTAACAAGGGACAGGAAGGTCTGCTGTTTAGTGTGGGGCACCATGCTGTAAAAGAAGTGTGGATTTTTTGGGGAACAGAATAACGCACTGTCTACTGAAAGCCTCAGAGCATTTCATAAAATGAGAGCAATGTCCTAATTCCTCATTTACACATACAGATACTGAGACAAGTGGTTGCCCATCAAATTTTTGACTGAATGCATTTTATTCCTAATTTTAAGACAGAGTTTCAGCCATTAGGTAATTTCATGAAATCAACTATTAGAATAAATATGTAGGTGTCTCAAACATACCATCCAAAAGGGCTTTAATTCTAATTAGTCTCAGTCAACAGGAAAGTAAAAACCATCACAAGAGAATTAGGATGGATACCTTTGTTTCATATTATCTTCTGAAGGGGTGGAGCTTTCTCACTAAATCAGTGTGTACAGGCTGGGTGTCTTTCATCCTCTGACTGTAAATAGCAACCAGGCTGTACAAGAAGAATGACAGACAAGAAGTCAATTTCCAATGGCCTGTGCTGATGATTCTTCGTGATGTTCCTAACCTGGACTTCATTGTAAGGCTGAAGTCATATGAATGAAGTACACAGATTTCACAGTGGCTGGTTGATGCTGAAATAAAATGCTGTCCTGGGACTCGTGGAACTTTATAGTTTTGGAAAGTGTAAAGCTGTTTATCTTCTGCCTCTCTCCTGGCCACGAGGAGTTTTCTCCTGTGATTTGCCATGAGCTGCTTGAAATCTGAGCACTAAAAGGTAACACTTCTATTTTGAATAATGGATGAGGAGATTATCTGCTTCAATCCCAGCATGTGCAAAGGAGAGGTGTTTGGCATTCAGGTTGAATGAAACCTGGTTCTCTTCTCAGTCTCTTCTAACTTGATTTTAGATCCCTGCCAATATGCTTTGGGTAGGGAATTTCAGATACTCTTGATCTGTCAGTCTAGTTCTGCTCTTACTGAAAGCAATTGCAGAACTGGATTTTAAGAGGAGAACAGTAGGGTGATGCCCAGCAGAATGGTATCTCTGTCAGAGTTCCCCATGTCTCAACTGGATTTACCTGTTTGTTATATTTACCTGTTACCTACAATATCTGTTTCAGAGGGATTTAGTGAAGGGTAATTGTAGGGACATTGGGAACAGTATGTTGATAATTTCTGTAAGTTACTAGAAACAGCATGAATTACTGATTTTAAATGTATGTTCTTCCTGTAACTGGTGCTGAAGGAATCAGTGAATGATAAATAAAGTACTCCTCTGACCTGTGAGCAGTCTTGATTGTTTAGGTGGGGGTAGCTGCCAAAGCCTTCTCAGTATAATTCCCATTGCTCTCTTGTGATGTTAGTGCTGCTGCCTGTTGTTGCTATACTGTGTGTTTCGTTTTCTCAGGGTGTGTGTACATGCACAGGTATATACAGGTATATACAGGTAAGCCCCTACCTGCCTTTTCTGTTTTGAATGATTGTGTGCACAAATAAGCCTTGTAAGGGGCTGGGAATTTTTCACAGGATTTTAGCGAGACCACCAAGAGGATTGATGTTCAGCTGCTTTTGTGCAAGCTAATGCCTGCCTGTCCATTTAAAGCTGTTTGGTCGTGAAGCTAGTGCATAGATTTCTTCCAGACCATCTTCAGTGTCTGGGAAGGCAGTAAGTCAGCTTGGGATAATCAAAAACATTGCTACTATTTTAGGGGAACAGTATTATATTCATGCTGCCGGTTATTGAAACTCTGAAATGT